AAAAAAAAAAAAAAAAAAAAAAAAAAAGACCCAACCATATTTCATTGTGAACATCCAAATTACTGGGTTTCCAGAAATGGCAGATCATGCTAATTAAGAAAGGTGACACTAACAACAATGACACTCAGATAAAAACCAAATAATTGAATACTGTGTGGAGCACAGGGCAAAGCAAAACAGTCTTTCAGGACAAAGCAATCTAAATTTATATTCGTTCACTGCAAATGGCAGAAGATTCTTGCACAGCTTGTAGGGAGAAAATGTAAGGGAAAGAGATTTAATTGCATACTGCCTGTTACCACTAATAACATCACAGAAAGAAAAATAATTGACAGCCTCATTAGCACCTTTGTTGCTTCACTTTAGTGGATATAAAATTTTTATTTGAAATTTCATATAAATGGTCCTGACCTCTGTTCATTTTCATGTCATTTTCCCCAGGAGGGTGTAAGATTATCACTGGGAAATACTAGTATTGGTTGATTTCTTTTTCAGAGAGACTAAGGTGTAGCCAGGACCCAGCTGGTGAGATTTAATAATATGTGTTTGGACAGGAAGAGAGGTTTTACACCAGGTGTGGGGTGTAGAGGGAAGGGCAGTGGACCGATTCCACATACCCACTGGATTTTCCAGTGCAACCAGGGGAAAGTTGGAGCCTGGGGCCTTGGAAATAGATTTCCATTTTAAAGCACTCTTTGGTGGGAAAGCTTTTTATTTGCAATTCTTTTCTGGTGCTGGTTCCTCTCACAATGCACCTCTTCCTAAATTCATCTCTCTCTGAGGTCCATAAATTACAGATGGGGTAGGGGTCTGAAAGCTTGAAAGGAGTTTTAGAAGTATTGCTTTTCTCTTGTTATTTTGTTACAAAACTTTTATCTTTTCATAAAAAGTAGCAAGAATCAAATTTTTATTTTTAAAAAACCCCTTGGAATTAAACAGGGTCTTCTCACTGAACTACATCTCTAGCCCTCTTTCTTTTTTCTTTTTTTCTGACAAGGTCTTTCTATGCTGTCCATGCTGGCCTTGAATTTGCAAGGACCCTACTCTCCTGCCTCAGCCTCACCAGTGCTGGGATCACAGGTATGTGCCATCTTTTACTTATTTATTTGTTTACTTTGGAGACAGGGTTCCTCTTTAGAACTTGAACTCTTTAGAACTCGGTCCACTGCCTCCCTCAGGGCTTGGATTACTGGCTTGTTTTATTTATTTGTTATGCATTGCAACCATCCTATACTAACAATAGCAGCCAAGAACTTGAAAGTTAATCTACAATCCTATCACTGAATAGATCACTTGTTTCTGCTTTCCCCTTCTGTTCTCACGCATTAAACATTACCCAAAGCACTTTACCAGTCTTAGTTCCAGAGCTGCTTGCATACACCTTTTTTATTTTGGTTTGTTGGTTTTCTGGGACTAGGTTTCGCTATGTAGACCAGGCTTGCCTTACTTGCACACACTGAATACGGGTTTACATTTTGCTTTATTCTTTTTTTTGGGGGTACCGGGAATCGAACTCGGGTCCTTGAGCTTGAGAGGCAGGCGGTCGAACCACTGAGCTAAATCCCCGGCCATGCATTATTTTCATATTTGTGAGGCTGCAAAATACACACTCACAATTTACCTTTCGTGGCTTCTTAATATTCGACCCAGGACAGACACTTTAATAGTAACTACTTCACTGCAAGTACCCAATGTTTTGGGAGCCGTTTGACCTTGCACTGCAGCCCGTCGAGGTCGATCAAGTGGCTCGGGGCTACTCGGGCTGCGTCCCAGCTGCACCCCGGGGGAGGGCGCCGAGGCCGCGGCCGCTCAGCCAATCCCTTAGCTTCCCGGCGCACCTGCCGTCTTGGCGCCTTTTCCTAGAGGCCCCGCCCCGCCCCCATCGGGTGCGCGCGCCACTCCCAGCCCAGCGTTTTCC